CAAAAAAAAAAAAATTTTCCTTTTATTGAAAATTCGCAGTTTTTTTTTGAAAATTTGTATAATGAGATTTAAAAAAAGATATTTTTTTTTTGAAAGAAACATTTAAATGACATTGAGATGACACATATATGCTTCCCTTTCATAGCAATATATTTATTCCTGGAAAGTAAACAAACTGTAAAACGGAGAGAATGTGATGAGTAAACAAATATTTTCAACGACCAATGATATAAATTCGTTTTAATGAATTACTCCCAAATTTTGTAAATTGATACTATTGCTGTGCTCTCTAAATTTTTTCATATTTCATATTATTCTTTTAGCAAATATTTAAGTTTTTTTTTTAAAGCAAAAAAAAAAAAGGGAAAGAAAATTAAAATTTGAAAATTTAATTTAAAAATTTCACATAGAAGTTTATATTTCCTTATAAAATATATACTGAAAATAATAACAATCATAATATTACTGGTATATTTATAGTTTTAGCTTTTATCAAAAGAATAAAATGATACGACACATGATGAACTATAAGCAGAAGCATTCCAAGTCTTGCATATATTCTAACAGCCATTTCAGGTTTGCTATACATCCTGGATTCAGTATGCTGACATAATGTATAGTCATTTCAGGTTTATTTTACATCCCGGATTCAGTATGCTAACATGATGAATAGCCATTTTAGGCTTGCTTCTACAACTTGAATTCACTATCTAACATAATGTATAGCTATTTCAAGTTTGTTTTACATCCTGAATTCAGTATGCTAGCTATACGTCATTTCAGGTTTGGTTTATTTTGTATACATATCAACGATATTTTGCATATAGATATCCTATCAGAAATTTTACTCATTATGTTATTAAAAATAGTAATAAATGAAAGTTTTGCATATGAAGTTATCATAAAGTTAACATTACATATGTGGTGATAACAGCATTTCTCATATACAAACAGTATTAATGATAATTGTATAGTGATGATAAGTAACGATGATAATATACAATGGTTTTAAAATTATGATTTTGATCGATTAACTTAAATAAAATTACGGTAATGACATATGATATATGATAAATGATGTAATTCGATGTACTATTTGTATGTATTACATTATATTTATCATTTTCTTTGATAATATTATGTTACAATAAAATAAACTTTTTAAAAATAAAAAAATAAAAAATAAATAAACTTTTTAATGAAACAATCACGTACGTTCGTGTATTATCCATTATTACGTGACGTACTATTGTTAGCATGAAATAAATGATAACATTAATAATTGTCAACAAACAAGAATTATTATTATTATCATTATACACTAGACTAATTATATTATTATCAATGCCTCACTTTCATTAAGTACTACTATTATTACTGTAGAAGATAAAGGAAGTTAGGTGAATTTCTGAATTCAATTTTTTTTTTTCTTGTCATTTACTGATCATTAAAGTTTTCAACAAATTATGATAACAGGAAATGATACAACAGTTTTTATTTAAACTGAGAGCTGATAAAATGCTTAGTTTAAATGGAAATTAAAAAAATTAAGCCCGAAAGGGAAAATCAGAACAAATCCAGCTGTCTAATTAGCATCCGGATTGATCTTTGTTGCTTAAAGTTATCAAGTAACAAATAAACAAACAAACTTATGAATCGATAAAGGAATGGGAAAAAAATGTGTATAGTTCGAAAGATAGTTCAGTAAAATATTTCTTGGACCAATAAAGAAACTGGAAATGGCCAAGTGGAAAAGAGGAGACGAAGGAAGAGAATAAGGACTTATGGCATTGGACTGAAGTGAAGTAATGCACTAATGGGCCTGCAATTGAATATTTTGCTTATTTTCACCACTAATGAATATGTTGGATAAAAAATCAATGACTAGGCTTTTCTCCTCCTATCCTCTAACTGGACCTATGTTTTCCTTCCCATCCATCTCTTCGTTAGGCTTATATTTTCCTCCCATTTATTTCCCAGTTAGGGCTGTGTCCTTTCCCACTCCATCTCTTAGTTAGGCCAATGTTCTCCCTTTCATCCATCTTCCAGATAAGGCCTATGCTAAGCTTTTGCTTGAAACAAAAATGTCTTGGCTTTTATGCCGACCCATTGGTTTTTGCTAGGCTCATTTGTTCCAAATTTCAATGCATTGTGCAAGAATAAAATCATTTTGAACGAAACCTGGTATGCAATTCGTTATAAATGTAATTTAAAGGAATAATCTTCCTCCTGTTTTACGTAAAACGTGTAATACGTGAACTTCGGTATCTTAAATAAAAAACTTCATCGTTCAATCGGACGCTGAATGCCAAAAGTATGATACAATTATATAACAGAAAAAACCAAAAAGCAAAGTTCTTTAGTATCATGTAATACGTGTCATACGTTAAGTTTGGAACGTTAAATGTCAAATTCAACAAAGTAAAATGGAATAAATATAGTAAATACCGATTTGGAATAGGAATTCGAATACGACGACTCGATAAAACAAACATTTCCCAAGAATGTCACCAGATGGTTAAGACTGATTACAAAGATCATTTATCGCATTTATAACTTTTAAATTAAATCATTTTTACGTAATTAGCTCATCATTCTGTTGTTACATTTACTTACATTATATATATATATATATAAATTTTAATTTGCCTAAATTAACTCATTAAAATTTACGGAATTTTTCAGGTATCAAATTTAAATATGATAAAATGAAAGGAAAAAAAGAGCAGAAAATGAAAGTTTACGAAGATTTTCCAAATTTTTTGAAAGACTAGAAAGTTATGAGATGAAATAAAATGAATGAATGGGATCAAATAAAGTGAAATGGCATAAAATCAAACAAAGACAAAGCGTTTGAATGGAGTGAATGGAAAATAAATGGAATAAACCAATGAATGAAATGAATGAATGAATGAATGAATGAATGAATGAATGAATGAATGAATTGAATGAATGAATGAATGAATGAATGAATGAATGAATGAATGAATGAATGAATGAATTGAATGAATGGATGACAAACAAGTTATAAATTTTATTTATCCAGCCGATTTATGTCCATTTTTTTTTTTATTATTTGCCTATTAACATCTCTTGATTATTTGTCTTTCCACACTTTTCACTCAAGTAATTGATCCAATTAGTGTTATGCAAACTATGTATTAATTATCTATTAATTACTGTTATCAAAGGTTTAACAACTTGTCCAATATTTCTTTTCTTATCACTGATAAGTTTCGGAAA